TTTTACCCAAATTTACATGTTCTTAACGTACTCTTACCTTATTAAGTACATGTTATACAGTGGAACCTGTCTTATCCGAACTCGTCCGGACCAGAAGAAAAGTTCGGTTTAGAAAGGTTTCCGGATTAGAAGGTTTACGGATTAGAAGGTTGTTTTACATGTTTGTTCATGTTATTAGCAGAATAGTTTAAGGAAAGAAAACAAACGGGAATGCATTTGAAATTGCAATAAAATTATTTATTTTTGCAATCTCTTATCGTTCATTTTAATACATGTGCATACAAAAATAAATAGATAAATAAAAATAAATAAGCAAAACTGTTATATTCTCAAGGGTAAGTTAATCTACGATGTTAAACAGAAGGCTGAGACATGATTAAATATTCGTACCAGCATTTGTCAATTGTTGTTTACTCTTATCCGATTCAGTGATTATCCGAATTCACTGACAGTTTCCATTAATTTCCATTACCTAATCACATGTCATTAAATCTATTACAGAAGATAAAAAGATTTCTATTTCATTATATCAAAATATTTATTGAAGGCGACGAAAAACAATATTATCAATTAAGCAATTATAGTAGATATGAAGGCAAGCTAAGTGTAATTTTCACACCTTCGCAGATCATATGTTTCGCCCATTAATCAAGCGAAATTACTCTTACCAGTTTGGTGTTGTTTACACCTGCAAGATGTGCGATTTTTTGTTATTTTGAAAGTAGGTGTGACATTTGGCAAAATCTGTTCGGATCCCAGAGGTTAATTTTAGAGTAAAATAAGAACAAAAATTGAAAAAATCGTCCGGAATTCGGAGTAGACAGGTTCCGGATCCGAAAGGTTTTTTACTATTGAAAATAGAACAAATAAAATTGGGACCGGACACTTCGTTCGGATAAGAAAGGATTCCGGATTAGAAGGGTTCGGATTAGCAAGGCTCCACTGTACCAGAAGATTGTAAAGTAAATGTATATACATGTAGATTTTAAAATTTTTAACCCGCAGACCTTACATCCGTATATTGGTTGTTAACATAATTGTCAATATTTTCATAACCTCATTTATGAATCAAAAGTTCACTATTCCTAAACTTGCATTATTTGTAAAAAAGAAGGTTCATATAATGGCTATACACGTAACAGAATAAATGGAGTTAATATACAAGTAAAGTACATGATTTTACATTCAGACATTAAACTTAATTGTCTACATCCAGATACTGGCTGTCAGAATTGCATTTAACAATGCACTTTTCTAGGGATACATCATTCAGTTTACAGTCTAACCCGGTAGGCTATACACTTTATATGATCGTATAAGGGTATAAAAAGATGAACCTCCATATATTGGTTGTCGTCATTGATATATAATTATACTCTATCAGATTATGGGCGAACTGTTTTTCATGTTTAATTATTACAGGTAACATGCGTTAGGGGTGTAATTGATTACCTACAATTACTTATTATTGGTGATACATTCGGAAGCATGTACATCTCAAGTTTAGATTGCACTTTATTTAGGTACTGTGGCAGGTGACCACCATACACGGGTTGTCGTCTTTATTTTACCCAAGACAAACTATTTATTGGTGTAATTGATTGAACCCTTTAAAAAAATTGGTTTGCCTTCACCTCAAATGACGACAATTTATGTAAATTCACTTAATAATAGTCATAACATATAATGTGTTTTGTAAGTGCATAAATATACAAAGCAACTAAAAGTATACAATTTCACAATTATTAGCGTTATAATATACAGTAGAGACACGCACATATAGTTTCGTGATGCTATAAGTTGCTTTGAAAACATAACTTCAATTCAACGTAGATCTAATATTGCGATATAATTAGTTTTCTTTATTAAAATAAAAACTGATGGAGAAATAAAAGTACATTTCGCATATTTACGTCCCTTTCCATTCACTATAGCAGCGTTCACTCAGACGCTCTTTAACATTCGCGCTAAAAAAAAACGCTTATAATAGTAAACTCCGCCTTACTCCAGGAAAGGGATGTCTTATAGCCTCCACCTTGATTCAGAGTCAACTCGTCCCCTGGTCAACTCGTCCTCTGGTCAACTCGTCACCTTTTTGGTCAACTCGTCCCTTGGACAACTCGTCCCCTGGTTAACTCGTCCCCTGTATTTTATTATTATTTGTTTTTCATATATTTCATGAATTATTATAGACTGTTAAAATAATACATTATAAAATTACTGAATTGGACATATTTTGACGCTTTTTGTATGCGAATATTTGGAGTTTTTTTTGTTGTTAGTATATCATGACACGTGCCTTTGGTTATTAAAGTAAACACGTATAGTAATTTGATAATAGGATTAAAGACACATTTGCCTCTGTGGTTGGATACGTATTTATATTTTTAAAGAACGCGTGTCTTTAATTTGAAATTATACAAATCGCATGAAAATCGTGCCAAAGGTTGTTATAAAATTTTATTTTCCAAATGTCGAATTTGTTTTTGATGGTGTATGGTCAAATATATGAAAATGTTGAATTAAATACAATTAATACATTCAATATGTTGACTTGTATTATACAAGAAATTCTGGAACTCGGTTTTATACAGCTCCTCTTTGAGATCAATTTAAAGATTTATTTATGGAAATTTAATATTAATCTTTACTAATTATTAGATGGCAATTGAATATTTAGTAATTACTTTATGTTTTCAATTAGTTAATATCCACGGCAAATATTATTGTACGGATTTTTTAATTAAAAAAAATAATGAAAAAAAATACTAACTCTTTCAAAAGGCATGTATGTTTATACAACTCCTATGATAATGGACAATAATATAACAATGAAATGCAATTTTAAAAAATCAGAAACAATTGACAATTTCACAACAAACAATTATCATGTTTTTAATTGACACGATCCTTCTATAATGAGATCAATACGCACCGACATAAAGTTTTTAGCACTTCCAATTTCTGTTAATCTGTCGTCAGTCTTTAATCCATTCAGGAAGGCGGTAAAAATCAAAGAGTTGGACCTAATTTTAGTTTTAATTATTATTAAAACTCCGATTAATTAAACATTTATTGAATGTTTGCAAACTTACCTGTCTTTGTAGTTTTACATCAAAGCTATGCACGTGCGCTTAGATAAAGATCATTAAAATTTAACGTAAAATAGACGTTATTTTATTACTATTTTGATATCAATCAAATACATCATTAATTTTACATAAAAAGTACTATCAAAAGACATTGATTTACAACTTAATAGTGACGAATAGATCGAACGTAAGGGACGAGTTGACCATATTAGGGACGAGTTGACTCTTTGAGGACGAGTTGACCAAAAGTAGGGAACGAGTTGACCAAAAAGGTGACGAGTTGACCAGAGGACGAGTTGACTAGGGGACGAGTTGACCGGATTGCGTATTATTTATTTTTTTTTACAAAGAAAAAGATTTAACTAAATTAATATCTTTAGCAAAAGGAAAAATGGAACAACGTTCAATTGCGTACTTTTCTTCCATTAACCCGCTCGCGAGAAAGATAATAAAAGATGAAGGAAATTTGAAAAGCGCTTTAAAGGGACGTTGGGATGAATTAAACTGGCAAGAACAAGAGGCATTGATTGATGATTTTCTGGTTGACAACTCTATTAGACAGCGATATGCTGACACAGAAAAAGTTCATTCATATCCCAAGTCTTTCCCTAAGCTCAAAGTTGAAACTGGAGAGAAGATTGTTGTTGACTTTGAAAATGATGTAAGTTATAAAGCGGTGTAAGTCTATCTTGACCCAAGACAACCTTAGATATGTCCTAAAAACACAATTCTTTTTCACCCCTGTAAAGAATGGGATACATGGTTACAAGGGTTACATTGGTTACTTATGGTTACAAAATGTTTTAATAGAAATTATATTCTCGAATTGTGTTTTTGTGCCATATATGGACAACCTAGCCATAAATTAGTCATTCCGTCTCCAACTGAATCAGATATATCTAACTTCCATTAATGTTAAACAGGAACGTAGACATGATTGCACGCCAGATTCGCAAGAAAATTAAAATTAGTTGATTGCTTGTGGATTTTTTCAGTATTTGTTAATTTTGTAGAGTAATTGCCTTTTACTTAGTAATTTAAGAAATTTGCATTTTTTAACCTTGAGTATTTGAATGAGAGTGTGCGTAGTTATACATCTGTGGTTGGGAAAAATCAAGATGACAACATTGGAAAAATTGAATGTTGTTTTTAAAATTTTATGCCCCGGGTAGTCTCAATATTTCGACTGCAAGACGGACAACTTTACAGACTCATATTACACAGACGTCGGCCTTTAAAGGCGCTAACTAAGTATATAAAAATAATGTGATATAAAATATTTTTAGAGCTGTCATTGTCAATTATTTTTCAGTGCTGGACATGGCAAGATGAGCATTCATCTCCTTTTAATTGGCGGACAAAGGTAAGCTATACAGTGTCATCTCTTATGTACTTGCATTACATATATTAGTGCCTTTTTATAGATTGTATTTAGCTGCTCACAACTCAAGGTTCAGAACCGAGTCTTTTTGATGAAGGCTCATCTGGCAACAATAATCATCAGCAAAAGCATTTGAGAATCAGTGCATTATTTATCATGGCCATCATAGCCAAACACAACATGCTTTCTTGATAATAACCATAAATATATTTACATTATAAAAAAACTGCAATATTTCGATATTGGAATTCTATTTATTTTTATGAAATAAAAGTCTTATTTTAATGTAAAATTTAAAGGGAAAGACAAGGTTAGAATAAAAACTTGATTTCAGAGAAAGAATACTATAAATAATAAATCTGCAAATTTTCTGCCGCCAAATAATAATATTAAACGAATGATAACAAAATTTAAATCGCTAAATCACCGATTTCTACAAATCAGTAGGCGCGTCCATGTTTGTGTATTGGCCGTATAAAAACAGGTGCGCGTGATGTCATTTCCCCACATCTTTAGATTTATGATAAATCTAGTTGAATCGTAGAGAAATATTAATATAATAAAGTATTGACCAGACAATTTAATTTTCACAGGAGGAGTAGAAGAGATTTTTTTATGGTTCAAAATACGTAACAATATCCAAAAAAAAAAAGATAATAAAGAAACAAATAAAAAATCAACGTCTACCGGTCGCACCACTTCAGGCCAGTGATGCCCGTTACTCCAAACAATGCTATGTTCATTAAAGTCTCATCTTAATGTAATTAAACAATATTTCACAGATTTAATAAATACACATGTTATTATTTAACAAAGTTTCACAATCAAATAATGCAATTAAATAAACAAACGCACCAACGAATAATTGGCTGTTAATTATTGAACGGCGATAATTATCATTATTATAAAAATCCTACTAAAACGTGTTCTTAATAGTACATGTAATTAAATTTTTGCAGTTTGATTCTGACTTTCAAATTAAAAGGTGTGAACATATGTTATAATTGATGTACACATTTCAAAAATATAAGCAACTATTTTGAAAAGTAAATTGTTAACATGTCTGTCAACGTATGATGCTGCGTGGTATTTATTTACTTTGTAATCGTAGCCTAATATTAATGCAGGCAAAACATTTTTATTGGCTGCTCAAAAATCTAATTTGCATAATTTATTCACACAACTGTTGGTTCTTACTACTTATGTCTAATACTGTGCATTATCCATTTTAATTGTTCCTAATTTGCACCAAATGTTCCTGTCACACTGTGTACTGACGATTTTTATTGCTTCTTGTATGCCTCTGTGCCCACAGACCTTTTGATCATGCACAATGTTGCCCTGATTGGTTAATCAGGGTGTCAAATATTCTAATGACGAAATAGACATCTATTTTTTTTTACGCTTCATCACAGGAGCTTGAAATTCTATCAATAATCGCTCAAAAGTCCGATCTAAAAAAAAATCCATACCTATATTTTTTTTATATATAGGTATGGATTTTTTTTTAGATCGGACTTTTGAGCGATTATTGATAGAATTTCAAGCTCCTGTGGCTTCATTGTGAACTGAATGACCTTAGGGGAAATCAAGTTCCGCACCTGTCAAGTTATACTGTAAATTACAGCATTTCATAAAATAGCAACACATTTTTTTTTCAGTTACCAATAATCATTTTAAATATTAAGTAGAATTCTGATTTTTTGTTTTATTGGATTAAATTTACGGTAGTAGAAATGCGTATCTGTGTAAAGGGATTGGGTAAGTAGATAACGTGGAAAAAAGCTATAGGAAACAATATGCGTAATTACAGGGGAATGGGCAACCTGTTGCTGTTGGTACCAGTTTTGACTGAGTGCCTAAATAACCTAACGGACAGTTTTGTTTTCATACGATATTAGTCTGGCTGCCGATTTTCCTGCGCCATTCTCATTTTTAGCGTCAATGGCGGAAAATCGCGTCCTCAGCAGATCTCTGCATATTGGATTTAGTTGATATTTTACGCTGAAAAAAAAAGATACATGACCGGCGATGTACCCTATTCGGACAGCTTGTCTAGCGAAAGTTAAGTACAAAATAAAAGGATATATCGTCAATTTGAAGAAGTTTCTCACAGTACCCAAATTAAATTGATGGCTTATCTTTGAAAATTAAGCAGTCATTGCTTGAATCATGTGGTGGGATCATCAGCAAGCTTGAAAATTGGACAAATGATAATTAATGTCGCGGCGTCTTCAATTTATTAATTAAAGCGATTCAGTTCCATATGATGTTTTCATAAATAATATATAATGTACGCAATAAGATTAATAAGTTCTTCATCAAGATATATTTCAGTTGTACCAGCGTGTACACCTATACCGGAAGTGGGTGTAACACGTCACAATCTCGGTCTCGTCTGTCTCGCGAGAATGACAGAACGCCAAAATGGCGGCGCCCATGACCTTATTTCTCAAGTAAAATATAGTGTCTTAAAACACAAATTTCTCACTTATAGGGTTGATGTCAACAGAAAAACTGTCATGTTACCTCTTTTTAAATGATGAATATTTATATTAGACAGACATCAATCCATCCATTCCTATTCCTTTAATGATTTTAGAGTCAGCAAGATCTTACACTAGATGACCTAGAAGCAGATGCACTGTGTAGTAAACCAGCATCTAAAGGAAAGAAAGTTGAGACAAGCATTAACCAGCCATCTGAATCTATAGAAGAAAGAACAGATGAAAACAGGGAGTTTTCAGTACAAACAGGCACAAGTATATGGGAGTCACCTTTCCTACAAGGAATGAAGAAACCAGACTTCTTAAACAGGTCAATCATTATCATAGAATAAAGTTCTGTGAATCATTGTCAAATATATCATTTTATTTTGTACATACATCCAGAGACATAGATAACAGATAGGCAACTTCCTTGCCAGTTAAAATATCACACGTGCCTGCTAAACTACAAATTTGTAGCAAGTAAAACTTATTAACCAGATATCAAAATCAGTAAAATAATACATTTTCTGAAAGCTTATGCATTTGTCTATGGCTGCAGGTAAAAATTTTACAGTTCCCATTTAAATAAATGATTACATCCACTTTTCTAAAGAGAACTACTTAATAATTTGTGTTACAAAAAACTATTTAATGACGAAAAAAAACAGGCTCAGTAGGTATGTTCTGCTATATTTTTCTAAGTGAAAGGCATGTGAAAGTTACCAATATTTTAACATGCAGCAATTGATAAAAGATTTTACCTTTTTCAAACGGTATATAATATATAAAGGATCAAATGTACATCAATTAATTTTTATTGCTTCAAATGCCTAATTTTTCACTTTTGATAGAGCATGAGTGATATTTCAATGGAAGTATATAGGAGCTGCTTATCTCTGTTATCTATGTTCTCTGATACATCTATCTTTTTTAAGACCTGTCAGGAAGGAATTATGACACCATTTTCACTCAGAAGAGTAACTTTTGTGTTGAATATCTTTGGAAACTTATTAAAACATTATTTTTTTAAAAAGTTTGTTGTGAAGAAAGTATTTAGCTAATTTGAACTTTTCTTGAGGCAGCTTCCTTGAATTAAGTTCACTAGTACTGCGTCTGTTATCATATGAGGGAAACAATCTACTGTAAGTACCTAGTAGGCCTGGAATCCATGAAGTAAGGGCCAAGAGGCTGACATGTTAACCATTAGTCCTATACTTTTATATATGAAGGGTTAAATTTAAGTTCCATAATATCTTTGTAAATTAATTTTTTTATATAACACCATTTCAGATCAAGAAGCACAAGTCCTACAAAGTCCGCAACATCAAGAGAATCATTGATGACAAGTAGATCTAAGACACCAGAGGAAGTTAACTATGCTTTTACTGGAAGTGTTGATGATTTTATCCAGCTCTCCAAGTATTGTAGGAGACAGATGTTCCTCTGTCTCCAGTGGGAAATACTAGCAACATCACCCTTCACATGAATCTGTAAATCCTGTCAAACCATCAAGAAGGAAGAGATCAGTAAGTAAATCACCTTCCAAAAGCCTTCTGTCATCATCTAAAAAATCAGATTCTGAAACTGGATTCACAGTCTCTTGTTCAGTACAAAGATGATGATGAAATGGCTTTTGACAATCCAGTTATAGGAACTTATTGGGTCATCATTCGTAAATGGTCAAGAGGAGGAGGAGATAAGTAGTGCCACACCATCTCCATACAAGAGTTTGATTAAAGAACCAGACCCAATTGCAATGGATAGAGGTGAAAATGTAGAGCAGTCTAATTTATTATCTGGTTCTCAGAATGAGTTCCAGGACGAGTACCTATATGTTTGAAAAATCTATTGATGAAGATCAGTTTACAGGTCAAATTGATTTGAATTGGATGCATCAAATCTGTCCAAAAAACCGGTTTCGACTTTCTGATAACTGGTGAGAGCAGAGAAAATTAATATTTTATGTTAGTTGAGGCAGTAAATGGGTGAAGGAAAGATCTCATCTATTAAAGGAAATATTTAAGAAAGATTTTAATGAAAGTAAGCACCTGTATAGTGTGTTTTATATATCTTGTAATACACTGTTTTTTTGTGAAATTGATATATTTATTGATTTAAAAACTGGTGGCAATAAAATATATTTAATATCTATAAGCAATACTATTCTGGGTATTTACTAGTACCCTTTCCAGTATATAAGCAAAACATGTTTATGAATGTACATTAATGTGCAATATATGTTAGTATAAATATTATATTTGATACAGCCCAGAATTTATCAATTTAGTAGTAGTGAGAAAGTATTATTACATCGGTATAATTTAACTATTTATCTGTAAAATGAAATGCATATTGGCTCTCTTAATTATCTAAGCATTTGTGCAGCACTATTGTGGATGTATTTTATCATTTTATCAGAATTTTTATAGTTGAGCCTTGTTGAAGATTAAGTTTATTAGATTCAATTAAAAACCAACCTGTATTGAACAATAAAGCGTGAATAAGCTCTATGCTAAAGGGAAAAAAATGCTTGCCCTTGACAGGATTTTGCACCCACGATGGCCAGCAGTCCTTTATGTTGTTA